AAAATCGGTTAGGGAGCAAATCTTTATCCACATTGTGTATTGTTCTTGGCCATACACACATCTCTAATGCCCATACCCATCTCTAATCCCTCTTCCGGCTGGGTTAGGACTTTTCGAACCTAAAAAATACCAACTTTAAGGGGACTTACATTCTCATATTTGTTTCATGGTTTGAGACTCATGTAGGAAAATAAGCTATGTCATTAATAATGCCACAGTAGAGAGAAGTAGGTCTAGAATTGCGAGCTCCCGATTTCCAATGCTCTAGACATCACCTGCCTGAAGTTGACTGTTGGGATGAGTGAATAATGTGGCGCAAAAAGTGGTTGAAATGGAATTAGAAACTGCCCTTTTTCTTTTTTCTCTTTGCCCCAATTCTTTCCTGATACACATAGTCATCAGACCCTGTGATGGAATACCAGAGCCCCACCAGGGAGCCCCTGAATCTCAGCAGAGAATGTCCAGAGGGTCCAGTTCATGACAGAAGGGTTTCACTGGCTTCTCACTCTTGAGTGCAGGAAAGGACAAAGGAGTTCTACTTTTCCGTTTCTTAAATTTATGGCATATAACCTCCTGATGATTTTTCAATGTGTCAAATTGGCTAGGCTTAACTACAGAAAAGGAAATGAGGGCAGCAGCCATTTTGTAGCATGCACACACCTCCTTCTTAATGAAATGCTAACCTAGGCCCTGCTGGAAAGGTATTTTTCAGATGTAAGTAAAGGTTCTAACTATGAAACTAGGAAGTTTACTCAGATAAGTCTGACTTTACCAGTGAAAGTCCTTTGAAGAAAGACTTACACATTCCTTGAACAAGACTAAACAGTGAAAATGTCTCTATTTTTCCAGTTGCTCCCTATTGACTGTTCCATGACCACTGGGATCCAGCCAGAAGAATTTTTTTTTTTTTTAATTGACTATAACAGGGATCTTACACTTCCTTTGGAAACATCCACAATTGAGTAAGCCAATTCCTTGTACTAAATCCATATATGAATCTCCCCAAGTGTACATATATCTAATGAGTTCTGCTTTTGTCTTTGAACCTTGACTGATATAGGGCTGATAGATTTTTTTGTGGGTATCTGACAGTGTGTGACCATAATCTTATGTTGTTGTTGTATTTCTTTCTTCCTTCCTTCCTTCCTTCCTTCCTTGCCTTCCTTCCTTCCTTCTTCTTTCTCTTCTTCTTTCCTTTCTTTCTTTCTTTCTTTTTTTTCGGACGAGTCTCCTCTGCTCACCCGCGGAGGTGCAGTGACGCGATCTCTCGGCTCACTGCAACCTCCGCCTTCAGATTTCGCAATTCTTCTGCATCGCCTCCGGAGTAGGAGTTTATCAAAGGATAACTGTGGAAGCCAGGAGCAGAGTCTAGACTGGGAACATAGCCTATCTGTGCTATAAGCAAAAATTTTTATAAAATTAGCTAGGTGTGGATGGCTAAGGCTCTGTCCTTATTACTTCAGAAGCTAAAGTGGATGGATTATTGAGCCCTTGGAATTCATAGGCTGCGGTGAGCTTGATTGTGTCACGCACTCCAGAAGGGAGAATTTTTAGTATAAAAATAAGTGCACTTTAGAGGAATGTGTGTGTCTTTGAAGTACACTCATTTTGTAACACAATATTAATGAATCTGTTATGTTCCTATTATATGTTTACCCTGATAAAATATTTGAGATGCATTCATTGCAGGCAGTTTGTTATAATGATAGTATGAGCTAATTTAATCAGTGTGCAAAGTATGTGCTAAATATTGGATAAACGTAATTGATCTTCTGTCTCAGCTTTTTGATACCCTAAATTACCCCGTAAAGAGGTGGGTGTGGTCTTAACCATTCGTATAAAGGATGTAGGGCCAGGGCACTGGTGGGCTCACGCTGTACCCAGCACTTTTGGAGAGGCCAAGGTGGGCAGATCACAAGGTCAGGAGTTTGAACCAGCCTGGCCTATGGTGAGCCCCGTCTCTACTAAAGATTACAAAAAAAAAGAAAAATAGCAGAGCGTGGTGTGCACACCTGTAATCCCAGCTACTCGGGAGGCTGAGCAGGGAGAATCGTTGAACCCAGGAAGTGGAAGTGTTGCAGTGAGCCAGATGAGCATTGCCTCCAGCCTGGGTGACAGGGTTGGACTCTTGTTACAGGGTGAAACACCGCATGTTCTCACTCATAGGTGGGAAATTGAACAATGAGAATACTTGGACCAGTGTGGGGAACACACACACCAGGATCTGTCATGGGTCGGGGGAGGGAAGAGGATAGCATTAGGAGATATACCTAATGTAAATGACGGGTTAACGGGTGGCAGCACACCAGCATGGCAATGTATACACATGTAACATACAAAAAAAAAAAAGGATACAGAAGGGAAGGCCCCTTTTCTCCAGAGGATAAGGATAGCACTTAGAGTTAACTGCATTCAGCTGACCTCCGACAGCTAGTACTCAGTGAATGAGCTCCTGATCTTGAGGAGTACCTAACAGATTTTTTTTTTGAAGAATCACTGTGGAAAACATTCATAGAACCCTGAGGTGAGTGCAAATTATATGAAGAAAATAATTTCATTCTTCCTTTACAAAATAATAAATTAGAGTGTTAAAAAATGCCTAATTAACTTAAACCTATTTAATGTTATTATTTGTAACTCATATTGCTATATATTTTATAACATGAGGTTATAGTTGTTATTTAGTGTATTCCATAATTGTTCAATACATTTTTGAAGAATTTTAAATATCTAGTGTTTGTTGCAATAGATTTGTATGCATCATGAATATATAGAATTCACATTATAAAGCATTTATATGTAGGCAAGTATATATATATGTATATGAGTGTGTGTGAGTGTGTATTACATGTATTAATATTGGCACATTGAATTAATTAAAAAGAGATAATTACTGAATACTGTAAACGTTGTGCTTTCATAACCTTAAGCTTTTAGACTTGATTTTAAATTACTAAGGCAATGATGAGATTAAAATGGTGATACTAAAGGAAATAAGAAGGCTCTCCAAAATATCCTAGCTTAGAAATCAAAACACAATTGTTGAACAGATAAATGTACAAGGCATAATTTTATACGTGATATTGGTTACCATTTAATTGTGGCTTAAATCAGATTAAACTATGAAAAATTCCTGAAAATAACTCTGATGACCTCTGAAAAATATTTAGGACTCTAAGATTTTCACTTTTTACACTTAAATTCAGGGGTGTTTTTAAGTAAAAAAGAGTAAGGTAAAGGACTTCAAACTACCAGAGCAAAGATTACAGTTTGTATTAGCCAGGGTTCTCCAAAGAGACGGAATCATAGGATGTATATGTAACTGTATATATATACACACACATGTAGAAAATACTTACCATTGTGTGAATACTATGCAGCCATAAAAAAGAGTGAGCTCATGTCCTTTGTAGGGACATGGATGAAGCTGGAAACCATCATTCTAAGCGAACTATCACAAGGACAGAAAACCAAACACCGCATGTTCTCACTTATAGGTGGGAATTGAACAATGAGAATACTTGGACACAGTGTGGGGAACACCACACACCAGGATCTGTCATGGGTCGGGGGAGGGAAGAGGGATAGCATTAGGAGATATACCTAATGTAAATGACGAGTTAACGGGTGCAGCACACCAACATGGCACATGTATACATATGTAATAAACCTGCACGTTGTGCACATGTACCCTAGAATTTAAAGTATAATAAACAAACAAACAAATAAATAAATAAATAAATAAAAGAAAATACTTACCATTGTGTTACAATTGCCTATCGTATACGGTACAGCACATACTGCACAGGTTTGTAGACTAGGAACAATAGGCTATACTGTATACCATAGGTGTGTGTAGTAGGCTATACCATCCAGGTTTGTGTAAGTATAATTTACGATGTTCAAACAATAACAAAACTGCCAAATGCATTTCTCTGATCACATATCTGTCCTCACTCTACACATGACTTTACAGGGGAGGAAGTCTACTAGGGGAATTGGTTCCCTTGATTATGGAGTCTGAGAAGTTGAATATAGGCATTAAACTACTGTCCTGGAGATACAAATATTCTGGCTGAGTTAGAATAAGCCTCAGGAGAGAGAGAAAAGTGTCTTCTCTCTGCCCTTTTTCTTCTATCTGAGCTACCAGCGGAGTGGATGGTGTCCACCCACATTGAGGGCTGCTGTTCCCCACTCAGATCACCAACTCACATGTCACTCTGGAAACACCTTCACAGACTCACCCAGAAATCATGCTTCACAAAATCTCCACGTACTAGTTAATCCAGTCAAGTTGACACATAAAATTAACCACAATACCACAGAAATGTAATTATGCATATTTCAGGTTTAAAAAACTGACCAAATGTCAGTTCAGCATTTGAGTAGCCCAAGGAAGAGGTTAATTTAATCCATTAAAAAATATATATATTTTATTACTTATTTTCTCTCCTAGTAAACCTAGATTGGTTTATTGCTGTCTTTTTGTTTATTTGGTCCGTTGGTTTGTTTTGGGGTTGTTTTTGCTTTAAAGAGCTGGGCTTCTGGGTTCCTCTCTCTAGTAATACTTCCTAGAGCCCTCTGACGATCTTCTCATATTTTGTTAGTCAGTGTAGGTTTCCTACTCCTCTCCCATAGTCATTCAGTAGTTAATTGAAAGAGGAATAGGGACAACCATGATTTATTCCAGATCACTTAAGACTAAAACCCAAGTATCATATCCACATCCAGGGAATAGGTTATTGAAGAGATTTGCATTATGTTATGGGTAGAAACTTGGAGTAGAAGGGGTTGTGAGTTATCTCATCAGTAATGTCTGCTGTAAAGCCTGAAGACTCTCCTTGTATATGAATTTTTCATTTTTGTTACAGAGGAAATAGTTTGTTCCGCTTTAATGCGCACTGTTGAGAAGAAAATATAGCTATCACATATCACCACATGTTCACAGATTCTCACCAACACAGACCCCGAAATGATACTACTCTTTCTTTTTCATAAACATGAATTCTGGAATCTTGCAAGTCTTCCAGAGGGAACTCACCAGCCCCATCTGCATGAACTACTTCATAGACCCAGTCACCATAGACTGTGGGCACAGCTTTTGCAGGCCCTGTTTCTACCTCGACTGGCAAGACATCGCACTTCTTGCTCAGTGCTCTGAATGCAGAAAGACAACACAGCAGAAAAACCTCAAAACTGACATTCATGTGAAGAAGATGGCTTCCCTTGCCAAAAAAGCCAGTCTCTGGCAATTCCTGAGCTCTGAGGAGCAAATGTGTGGGACTCACAGGGAGATAAAGAAGATGTTCTGTGAAGTAGACAAGAGCCTGCTCTGTTTGCTGTGCTCCAACTCTCAGGAGCACCGAGACCACAAACACTGTCCCATTGAGTGGGCTGCTGAGGAACACTGAGTAAGTGATGTCTCTGAAGATCTGCTTCTATACAGGACACATAAAATTCTTTTAAGTCTATTTCCTTGGAGATTGGATGATGCCATCTCTGTGTCCCTTTAAGCATCTCTGTTATGAGCTTCCTTAGCTTTAAACTTCAGATTTGACAAACATGAAGATAAACAAAGCAAATGCTATTTTCTATGGGCTGATTTGTCTCATTCTGGGCCCCTTCGTATATCAAGTGTGAATCATACTTTGTCTTCATTGGTGCTCCAAGTCATGGCTCTTTTGCAGGAGAAGCTTCTAAAGGAAATGCAGTCTTTATGGGGAAAAGCTTGTGAAAATCACAGAAACCTGAATGTGGAAACCACCAAAACCAGATGCTGGAAGGTTAGTCCTGTACTACTTTATCTTCTCCAATAACTTACGGTGAACAAATGGGTGACTCTTAAAATAGGGACTTGATCTCGAACCGTAATGTTTCTGGAATTCAATAAAAAAGGAAAAAAAAACAGTTGAGAAAAAGTAACCTAATTTTTTATGTAGGATAGTGCGACTCTTTCATAGGATTTCTAACCAAACCACAGACGTAACCCAAGCATGCGCATCTGTTTCCATACAAACCTACAGCAATACACCAAAAAATACTGGTTGGTGGCCATTTCACAGTGTTCCTCATGGGCTGCCTGGATAAATCTTGGGCACAAGAGTTATTGAGCAGTCATGGAAATTTCAAGTGAAACTTCTGAGGCTGGGTCAGCATGAATTTGAATCCTGGTGGGCAAGCATATTTGGAAATGTGAGTTAAATTTCAGGCAAAAGGAGGAAAAGTGCAGATTTAGAGAAAGCATGAAATTAAGTATCTCAACTCATTAGTATTGAATAATGCATATTCAGTATGTGAGAAATGTAGGCTTGCATCTTGATGAAGACAGGGCTTTGTTTTGGGGATGGTTAACTTGTAGGGTTCATAGGATACAGACCACTCACAGCACCTGCTTTTTGTCATCCTTACTCTCAGCTGTGAGTTGAGGCCCAGGAAGCTTTCTGCCAGCCTCAGCTGCTGTTCTCAGATTAATCTGCTGAGTTCTTGTTGCCTAGTAGGAATCTCTGAATTTAGGAACATAGATGTTAGCACTTGTATTTCTAGGTTTTCCAGTTCTCAGGGCCATTAAAGATTTTTTTCCTTTCCTTTCCTTCTTCCAAAAAAGTTGGTGATTCCCCTGGATCCCTGTGGTTTAACCTCACAAAACGTTCATGATGACACCTTGTTACATTGTTTTGTCATAGTTAATACCTCGTTATCCCAGTTGCTCAGTCAATTTTTGTGAGAGATTCAGGGATATTAATAAAACTGTGCTGCTGCTACTAATATCTTGCATAAAAGCCCTATTAATTAAAATGTTTATTTTGCATGTGATTTGAACTTACACATCTCAGCCAACTGATTTTTTTTATATACTTCAAGTTCTAGGGTACATGTGCACAACAAAGATGCCAGATGCCAAGAACACTCATTGGGGAAAGTCTCTTCAATAAATAGTGCTGGGAAAACTGGATATCCATATGCAGAAGAATGAAATTAGACCCTGCCTCTCACCCTATACAAAAATCAACTCGAAGTGTCTCAAATACCCAAATATAACACCCAAAATGGTAGAGCTGCTAGAAGAAAACATAGGGGAGATTCTCAGGGCATTGCTCTGGGAAAAGATTTTATGAATAAGACATCAAAAGCACAGGCAACAAAAGAAAAAATAAACAAATTGGATCTCATTGAGCTAAAAAGCTTCTGCACAGCAAAGGAATAATAAATAAGTGAAAAGACAATGTACAGAAGGGGAGAAAATATAAACTACTCATCTGGCAGGAAATTAATATCAAGAATATACAAGGAATTCAAACAAATCAACAGCAAAGAAACGCAACAATCTAATTAAATATAAGCAAATGCTCTGAACAGACATTTCTCAAAAGAAGACATACAAATCACCAACAAATATATGAAAAAATGTTCAACACCACTAATCAGCAGGAAAATGCTAATCAAAGCCACAATGAGGCATCATCTCACCCCAGTTAGGATGGCTACTATAGAAGAGACAAAAATAACAAATGCTGGCAAAAATGTGAAGAAAAGGGACTTTCTTCTTTTTTTTTTTTTTTTTTTTTTTGAGTCTCACTCTCCGTCCAGGGTGGAGTGCAGTGAGGTGTAATCTTGCTCCCTCTGCCTCTAGGTTTCAAATAGTTCTCCTGCCTCTGCCTCCTGAGTAGCTGGGGAAAAAGTAACTCCTATACACTGTTGGTAGGAATGTAAATTAGTGCAGCCACTATGGAGAACAGTATTGAAACCCCTCAAGCAATCCATTACTGGGAATTTATCCAAAGGAAAGAAAAGCATTATATTGGAGAGACATCTGCATCCCCATGCTTATTGCAACACTATTCATAATAGCCGAGATATGGAATCAACCTAGGTTTCCAACAACAGATGAATGGATTTTAAATA